CGCACGCACGCTTCCCCCACGCGCAGCTTGCAGATCTCGCACCTCCCACGCGGACACACTCATCGCCATGCACACACGCCTCTCCTCCCCACGCCAAGACGCCGCTTTGCCCCTCCGCTCGCGTCCCCACACACACATGGTCTGCCCGCAGCCCGGCGCCAGCGCTCTCTGACCCAGGCACGCGCCGGATGAACGCAAACCCTCTTTCCCGAGCCGAGCTGTTACATGTCCGTGGATGCAAACCTATCGCGCAGGGCCCGGGTAAGCAAACACAGCCTCGCAGTTTCCCTAGGAGCCCACACTTTGCCAAATCTCCCCGGCACCGCTGCACGCCCGACCCACGTTTCCTGCACCTGCGGCACACGTGCACGCACGTGCTCGCTCAGACCCCCCTCCAAACCCTGATACTGCTGACATGTCCTTATCCTTCTGCCAAAAATCCCTGCCACCTCCTGCTCCCACCCAGCAGCGCCCTGATATTACATAAAGCTGGCTTCTGGGGATTGCTTTGCACGGATGCTGGAGTTGCACCACTCGTTTGCTGGGCCTGATTCAGCCCGTCTCCGGAGCAGGATTGTACCCTTCCTTGGGGGGCAAGGCGCTGCATCCACCCACATCAGCACCAATGCGAGCCGGGGCTGCTGCCATCGCCCTTACTGGAGCCAGTGGAACCTCTCTGGAGCAGGGTCTTGGAGACCTTCTCCTGTTGGAGACCCTCTCCCCAGCAGGTCTGGAGATCAGGAGGCATCTCATCTGGCGCCTGCCTTTCCATAACTCCACAGACACTTTGGAAATACTCCATGATTTTACCCTGGGGACAGTTTGAGTTGTACCTGCAGGCTTGCCATGGAGGTCCCAGGGCTGTGCGTTGGGTTTGGGTTCAGCTGCTGAAACCATAGTTGTGGGGGTGGATGAAGGAAGCCCCAAATCTGCTTTTGCTGTTCCCGTCCCTGCCAAAGCTGTTTTTCTTCTCCCACCCCCTCTTCCCTGATGAGCATTTGGGATCCGAGACCTGACAGGGGCTGGCGGAGGGGTCCAGCGGCGGTTCCCCACTGCCCAGCCAGCCATCGGGGAAAGGCTTGCAGCGATTCCCCGGGCTGGGGGTGTCCGCGGTTCATTGAGGCCATGCTGGGTCCCTCCTGCTGCCACCCCCTCGCCCCATCTCGTGTGCTCCACGCAGCCTTGTTTCTCGGGAGGGCTACCCCAAAACGGATGGGCGGTCGCATGGCGGTGTTCATCTTGTGTAATCCTCCGTGCCCACTCACCTAAATGAATCATCCCTTTGATAGGTGAGTGAAATATAATTAGTGTTTTCATTGTTAGCACCGTGTGAGTAGGCAAGTGGGTTTTCTTGGCCTGGGCTGGCAAATTTTCGTGCTTTGGAAGCGACGGGGAGAGGGAAGCGGTGCAGTGGGAGCTGTCGGCGTGGGGGCCC